ACCTTGAGGCAGGAGGAATCAAAGGCACTCGGAGGCTGAGGCAGGAGGCTTGAGGATCTGAGGTCATCTTGGGCTACAAAGTAAGACCCTGTTGATAGGAAAGAAAAGGGAAGGGAAGGAGGGGGAAGGAGGAGGGAGGGGGAGGGAAGGGAGGAGAAAGAGAGAGAAAATAAAGGGAAGGAAGAAAGAGAGGGAGGGAGGGGAGGAAGGGAAGAAGGAAGGAAGGAAGGAAGGAAGGAAGGAAGGAAGGAAGGAAGGAAGGGGCTGGGGTAGGCGGCAAGATGGAGGGAGGCACTGGAAGGCCAGTACTCTGTTGATGGCTTCCCTTGAAGAGTGGACCACTCCCATACTGAACAGTTTAACCATTTGTTTGAAATGGATAAACTAGAGAGAGGAAAAACTACTTATGAAGACTGTAGAGGAACAGCACCGTGTTGCAGAGACAGGCAGAGTCTGGAGGCTCTAGTGTGAGGTCCCATGCACAAGCAGGCAAGTTGGGTTCTCAAGGATGCCTTGTGCACTGGAGAGGAGGGGCTGCTGTCCCTGCCCTGCATGTGAGTAGCCAAAGTGACCTGAATCTAAGGCTACTGCCTGAACTGTAGGTTGTACTCCAAATCTTGCTCATTGCTTTTAGGGCCACTGGGTACCTGTGGAGAGGGTTGCAGTCCTCTGGGTTTTGTGGTTGACTGAAACCTGGATGAAAGAGGGAGACAGGCAATCTAGAGGTGAACCATGGCTCTGCCAGAACAAATAAGAGAACTTGGAAGCAGGAGGCGGCTCCAATGGAAGTGTATTGTCTAGGATGTTTTGGAAGATTTATCTGGAATCAATGTAAAACGGCTCTTGGTGGGAGTCAGTCGGAAATTCGGTCCTGCCTCATGGGCCTGAGGCAGTAGAGAATTTTCTTTCCTTCACTGATCCTGGCATCAGGCCAGAGACACTCCAATAACAGATTAGCAAGATAAGAAGCACACAGAATTATTTAGTCTAAAGTTCATAAGATATGGAAGTCTTCAGAAGGAAACATGAAGTGTATGTGTGTTTATGTTAGGTCTGATGAATATTGATCGTGGAGAGGCACAGTTGGACAAATGGTGTATGACCTGATAGTGATAGACTGAAGGGGATATAGCCAAGCCTGTTTTGAAATGGTTCAAATGGGAGGGGAGGGGAGAAAGTCACTTAGTAACTTACCAAGGCCACTGACCTGGGGGGAGGGGAGGAGGAACATGGACACATCTGACTTCTGTTGTTTTCTCCATTGCTAAACCTGTCATATTTGGGAGCTGTGTGCCTTGGATCCTGTCTGTAGATACTGTCACCCATAGCTGTAAGCTGAGGAAATCTGGGGCTCAGAAAGATCAAGAGACATGTTCAGAATTAACTTGAAGGTTTGCAGGCAGCTGGGAGTCCAACTCAAGCTTGAAGAAGCCTATACCAGCTTTTGCTGGTTTGCTTTTGCAACCTGAGGCTGGGAAGAACTTTGGATTAGGCCTGAATCTTCACAGGAAAAAATGAGCAGAGAGGGAAGAGGCAGGCTGGCTTCTGAAGCATTGCCCCTTGTCATGTAGCTGCAGCTAGACTGAGCGACGGCTCTTGTTCATGAGGAACAGTCTTGCAACAGAGGCTCAAACTGACCAGCTCCTAGGAAGCAGAGGTTTTGGCTGTCAGATGTTCTGGAAGATGACTGCTCCCAGAGCCGAAAGCATTTGCTGGGCTTCCTTCCCAACCTAGAGAGGAGAGCTATGGAGTTTGTGCATCAGAAACTGTCATTCCACTAATGGACAGAATAAGCCAGGGAGACTTTGAGCTTTGGCAGGGGAGGCTGAGGTGGAAGCCTTAGGAAGACCCGGACTGAGGCTGCAAGTAGAAGCTCACCTAAGGCAGCTGAACAACACTGTGGGAATGAGAAGATGACAGTGCACAGAGGAGAGGGATGTGACTACATATAGGAAGGATTGTCCCCAGGGTCTTGAGATACCAAGCTGAGAGTCCAGGCTCTGGGCTTGAGCCAGAGAATGTGTGTTCTGAGGTGGCCAACTCCCTTCCCTTCCCTCATCCATCCCTTGCATTTCTTTCTGAGGTAGAACATCAAGTCAGTGACTTCAGATCTTCCAGCCTTAGCTCCAGCCATGCTGTCTTATTGGCCAGGCTTTGGGGCATTCTGGCACTGTTGCCAAGGTGACCTATCTGGGCTGGAGTGGACATAGACAGAGAAAGGTACTGTGCTTTCTCCCCTTGCTCAGACATGCTCAAGGAGCAAGTGAGAAGGGCTGTTGAGTTCAACTTCTGGAATGAGCTGCTGGGAGTCCTCAGAAGCTTGGAGACACAAAGGACACAGGACACAGAGCTCTAGAGAGTGTTTATGTGCTATGGATGCATGTGAAGACCTAGATGGCAACAGGTAACAGTCCACTGCTGGTGACGGGAGCTGAGGTTCAGAAGTAGTCCCCTCGGTGTCTCTGGGAACATTTCTTTAAAGACCCTCACCCCCTTTTCTTCAGGTGACCTCTGCAGCCTCCTCCTCTTCCCCTTTCCAAATGGTACTCCCCAACTCTCCCCTGCCAGGTGTTGCTTTCCTTTGTTTCCTCTGGATGTTTGTGCCCCAAAAGGAACTCCTCCCAGACATACGCACTTCCATTTCCTCAAATTCTTCCAGTTACTATCTAGGCATTTCTCCAGAGAGTTATAAAAATGACAAATATGAACATAAAAAGATGCCTGCCATCATAATCAAACCATGCACATCGCATCACACCTACCTGAATGGCCATCACTGAAAAGACGGACTACAATATCTCAGAAAAGGTGTAGCAAGACCAGAATGTTGTTAGTGGGCTTGTAAAATGGAGCATCACTCCATGAGCCTTGAGAACAGTGACTGGTGAGGAGGGTGCCTTTCTCTGTTTAGGCCCACTCAAACCTAGCTACATTACCCCCACAGCGTACCATTATGTCCTGGGTCCAAGCCAACCAGACAATAGGGCTGGAAGAGCTGCAGCAAACAGTTGAATGGTTCCTCAAATAGTCAAACATAGAACTGTCATGGGACCCAGCAATTCCATATCCAGATGTATGCCCAAGAGGACAGAAAATAAAAATACATGCCACATAAAATGATGCAATGACTGTACACAATATTCCAGATTACCCAATTTTTTAGCAGTTGATGAGTACATGCACAAAAAACAAACTAACCGCATAGAGGAGAGCTATTCATCTGTAGAAAGAAAACAAGCACTGGCAGATGCTACAATGTTGAGCACCCTTGAAGATATGGGGCTTTAGAAACTAGCTACAGGTGACCAACCACATATTAGATTGTTTCATCTGTGTGAAATGTTCAGAATTGGAAACCCACAGAGCCAGGAAGGAGATTAGGGTTTTCAGAATCTGGTAAGGAGGAATGGGAAGTAACTGGTGGTGTTTCAGGCTTCCTGCTGCAGGAAGGAAGAGTTTTTGGACTGGACGGTGGTGATTGCTGTGCAATTTTGTAAAGGTACTAAAATCCATGGATTGTGAACTTTTAAGAGTTTTATGGAATGAGAATTCTATATCATGTCAGTGATTTTGCTTGTTGGGGTCACAAATACCTGACTATAGAACATCTTAAAGGAAGGTTTGTTTGGACCCATAGTGTGAGGGTACAATGTATCACTATGGAGAAGGTGCAGCCAGGAGCACAGGATGACAGGTTACATTGTATCTGCAGTCAGAAAACAGAGAGGTAAATGCTGACATGCTGGTACTTCACTTTGTTGTATTCAGTCAGAAACCACAATCCACAGGATGGGTCACCTCACTCTAAATGCATCTTCCTCAGTTAAATCTTTCTGGAACCATCCTCTTATGTGATTATAAATCCCACTAAGTCACAATTACCTATGATCTGGGTAACAGTTCTCAGGATTGGAAGGATAGTAGTGTATTTATATTGTTCTTATAGAGAACTTGAGTTCCATTCCTATTACTCACATCAAGTGGCTCACAAATGTTTAGAACACCAGCTCCACCAAGTCCAATGCCTCTGACCTTTATGGACATATGCACACATGCCTACATGTACGCTTTAAAATATGGTGTGCCAGCTCCAAGGTACCTTGTGTGAAGATCACACAACCTTGGCATGTGGAGGTTCAGGGTCTCGGGAGCCCTTTATGAGTTTCTTCTGGGGATGGAGATGAACTCCATGGTGTGAGAGGTGTTCTCCAGCAGACCATGTGAAATAAAAGGAAGCTGTAGCCTGTGGTGAAGGGGACATGGGACAATGGAGGAGGCTATCCACAGGAAATGGAGTGGGCTGCAGGAAGGCTCTGGTTGCCAGCTAAAAGGATGCTGCCCCACAGGTTGGACTTGTGGGATTTCCATTAAGAACCAGGAACAGGATAGAGTAACAGACATGTTTCCATAGTTACTGTGTAAGAAAGCCACCATGGCAATGAGATCAGGAATCCCATATAGCTGTGCCTCCTGGTCTGTTTGTCCAGAAGATTCCATGTTCGTATGTATGGATATTTTATGTATGTTTTGATGTATGATTTGCAGGCTTGACTGCTTGGCTCTGTGGCTACACACAGGATGGTGTACTATGACAGCAAGGAATCACTGTCATATAAAGGGAAAGTCTTTATCTCCTGGTTCTGGACCCAACCTTGACCTCACCCCTGTTCAAAAGCCTACTGAAAGACTACAGCTCATACTTAATGTGAGGGCGCTGTGAAGGTGGTTGCTCCAGAGCTTGCTGTGGGGGAAGAGGACTGCTCCTCTTTAGAAGGTGTGTGCCTGAATGGAGTGAAGGTCTCCAGCAGAAACACATGGGACCCTTGGCCTTTCAGGAAAGTCCCTCCCAGGGATAGCAGATGAAACTGACTCTCAGACCCTCACAACCACCAAGGTCATGCTTTTCCAGAAACAATTTGCTCCTGAAATCAACCTGGGTCAAGGACTATTGTCTGGGATTTTATCTTATCACCTGGTTGAATGTTCCATTGGGCCCACAGGCGAGGAACCCCAGATGCCAAACAGAGACACCAAGACCACAATGGGCACAGAAGACATGCATGAAAGCAAAGTCAGCATAGAGCCTCAGGACTCAAATCAGGATGCACGGCCCCAACCACTGTTCCACAACGTCAAGGTACACACCTTCGCATAAGGCAGGGAAGGGGCCAAGCCCAGCAGTTAACATCAAGCATCTTCCTTCCTGCTTCCTTGTCTGGAGGGTGGGTTCCTGGGCCGACTTGGGCACAAAGAAGGTAAACAGGTTCTCCTCGTAGAGGCTGGTGCGTGTTAGTATATGGGTGATGGAAGATGACTCCTGTTGCCTCCGGTTCCCTTGGAGAAATAGGGACATGCTATGCAGTCATAAACTCGTGTGAATACTTGGAGTTCTGGCTCCACAGCAAGGACACTAAAGACTCACCCAGTGGTGTCAGATCCTGTGCAGGGTGTTGCACACCCCATCTTTTCTGTTATTGTTTTCATGACAAGAATGGAAGCCTAGACCTTGCGCTTGCTAGGCCAGTGTTCTACCACTGAGCCCCACCCCAGCCTTCAAGACCTGAGTTCCCTAAATAATCCTAGGAGGTGCCCCCCCCCACCAACCTAACGAAGAGACCAAGGCGCCAAAGTATTGAGCAAACGCCTCAAACTCTGGCCTAAATATTCTCAGATTTTGATTCTTTAAAGCAAGTTTTTCTTCCTCTAGGAATTCTTCCAGCATTTTCTGGGAAGGCTGGGTTGTTTGGGGTGAGGTGGGATGGGACAGCTTGGGAAAGTCAAAAGAGAGAATGTCTGCACAGCAGTGATGGAAAACAGGGTGGGAGTGGGGTGGAGATAGAGCTAGGAGAAGCTTCTGGTGAAAGATGTGGTGTTGTAGAGCAGAGAGGAAGGTCCAGCCCAATGCCTGGGGAGATCAGAGGGTCGGAAGGGCTCTGACGTTCCTATTTTTAGTCAAGTGTGTTTCTGATAGCACCCATGTTCCTAAATTCAACTTGAATGAGACTCCATTAATTACTCCAATTCTCTCTCTCTCCTCTCTCTCTCACACATCTCTCCCTCTTTTTTTCCTACTCTCATATATCTGCCTCCCCTGACTTTGTTTACCCAACTTCTTCCTATTCCTTGCTCATCTTTTGACCTTACTCTCCCTCTGTCCCATATTCTGTCTGTATCTCCCTGACTTCGGTGGTGTCTATCCACCTGCCACCACCACTGCCTCTTCTACAGTTCTTTGTCCTGTGCCACAGTATACTGCAGCTGGCTCAGCTCATGATCTCCGGCTACCTCAAGAGCTCTATCTCCACAGTGGAAAAGCGCTTTGGACTGTCCAGTCGGACATCAGGGCTGTTAGCTGCCTTCAATGAGGTACTATTTATTGTTCCCTAGATCTCCCTCAGGAGTGCATGCTGAGGGAGCCCTATATTCCTACCTCTGCCAGCTTCCTTCCTTACACTCATAAACATTTCCTCCCCATGTCCACATAAAGCCCCCAACATTGCCTGTTCCCCCCAACTTCCATAGCTCTTCTCTCACAGCATGCTGGCCCAGGGTTGAAGCCTAGAAAAGCCTCCTCCTGCCCTGGATGGCCCTAGTAAGAAAAGATACCCAGCCATCATTCCCTTAGGAGCTCTTTGCTAGGGGACATGAGATATTGTCTAGCTTGCCAGATTTGGGTAGACACCCACCCTCCTTGTGGCTCCTTTGTGTCTTGAGTCCTATAGCTATTGGCTGTCCAAGGAAGGAATCACAGGATGTCACTTCTCCTGTCCCAGAGAGAGGCTTGAGTTACCCCCAAGACACCCTCTGACTGACCTTGGGGTGACAGGAGGGAGGGGTGACACTGCTGTGGAAGTCTGGCCCCAGAATGTCCTGGATCCATAGGCCCTCAGTGAAGCAGGGAGAGGCTGAGCTGTTCCCTGTGGATTCTGTGGCAATTGGTTCTGCTGGGCCTCAGCCAAATGTTGTCACTCTCTGAGAAGAAAATTCTGCTCTCTCCAGCCCCATCAGATTTCTGTGAAATTCTCTTCCCTGGATAATAAGCCACATCCCTCTAGATCCAAGGCCCGGCCCAGCAGCTGCACAGTGTCCCATCCCCAGATGGGTCTCAGCCTGATGCTACTCTCACATCTCACATGTGCGAAGGGAAAGTCAGTCCATTTTGGTAAATGGGAACCATGCCTCTACTTCACAGTTAGGACTAAACAACCCCTGTTGGTGTGGCTCACTCCCTTTGAGGACTCTGGAACTCACCCACCCCCCTCCTAGCTCCCTGGGAGGATGAGTCTAAGACTTGGAATTCCAAGCCTCAGCCCCCTGCTTTCAGTCTTTACTTGTGCCTCTCATTCTTGAGGCTCCTGAAGCTCTGAATCACTTCCCTCTACTGCTCATTTACCTCCAGAGCAAAATTGGCCAGCCAGCTTTGTCCTCATTTTCCTCCCCTGAAGAGGCAATGAGACCATTCCCTTTCCTAGGGAGACTCAAAATCTGCATGTTATTGCAAGTTTTGTGTTGTGTTTGTTGTTGAGATAGGGTCTCACTATGTAACCCAGGCTGACCCTGAGTTCCCAGCCATCCTCATTGACTCTCATTTGGAGTACTGGGGTGGCAGGCATGAGCCATCATGCCTGGCTCAGAATGTCTATTCAACACACATCTAGGGGGTTCTTACTCAAACTAGTCTGTCTAATGTACAGATGGGAACACAAAAGGTAGCCATAGGAAGGATGGGCTTCAGCATGCTTTACTTGTCTTCATCTCTTTACAGGTAGGGAGCGTATCCTTGATCTTGTTGGTGAGCTACTTTGGCAGCCGAGTTCACAGACCCCGAATGATTGGCTATGGGGCTATCCTGGTGGCCCTGGCAGGCCTGCTCATGGCACTCCCACACTTCATCTCCGAACCATACCGCTATGACCACAATAGCCCTGGTAAGAGACTGTGCAAGCAATGACTGAGGAACTTCAGTACTGAGCATTGGGCCCTTCCTGAAGCCTGTATCTGGGATGGGTGTCACTCCAGTGTACCTGATAGTTCTCTCTACTTCATCCCCAGTCTATCTGATCCTGGCCCTTGTTAGGAAGGGCAAAGATGAAATCTTCTAGTTCCCTCTGGACAAGGATCTGCTAAAGTGTCACTGTGGGGTTTTGATGTGGGAGTGAACTTATAATGCAGCCTGCATGCAGAAACTCCTTAGGAAAAGTCTGTAGAATAAAATGACAATAGTATAATGTGCTTCCTGGATGCCACACATAGTTTGAAATATTTCCTTTGTATTTGTCCATTTAATTTTCACAAGCATTCAGAACAGAGGAGCCAGGCTTGGTGGGGCACCCTAGCCCTTGGGAGGTAGAAGTAAGAAGACTGGTAGTTCTAGGCCATTCTTGGCTACATATTGAGGCAAGGGCCAGCCTGAGATGCATGAGACCCTGTCTTATTTTTTTGTTTTTGTTATTGCTTTTTTGGTTGGTTAGTTGGTTGGGTAGTTGGGTTTTTGTTTGTTTGGGGTTTTGTTTGGTTTTGGTTTTGGTTTTCCTAGACAGGGTTTCTCTGTGTATAGCCTTGGCTGTCCTGGATCTTACTTTGTAACAGACTAGACTCAAACTCACAGAGATCTGCCTACCTCTGCCTTGAGTGTGCTGGGATTAAAGGCATATGCCACAATCCTCTGGCTGAGATCCTGTCTCAAAAAGAAGAAGAAAAGAACAATCAATGTTTGCTTAATTAGGGTTTCCATTGCTGTGAAGAGACACTAATGACCATAGCAAATTTTATAAAGGAAAACATTTAGTTGGGTGGCTTATAGTTTCAGAGATTTAGTCCATTATCATCATGGAGGGACATGGCAGCATGCAGGCAGACATGGTGCTGCAGGAGCTGTGAATTAGTAGATTTTGACCCATATGCAACAGGAGGTGGTCTGAGTCACAGTGATATTTTCTCCAACAAGGCCACACCTACTCCAATAAAGCCATACCTCCTAATAGTGCTACTCCAGATGAGCTTATGGGGCCCAATTACATTCAAACTACCACAATGTTTAAAAAGTGGATGAATGTAGTAAAATTAACTAATTAAATGATAACAGGATTTTGTTGAGAGTCTAGTTGAAAAAATAATGTTCCTTAGAGCAAACAGTTGAGTATTCACTTTCCTCTTCCATTCATCCATATATTCATCCATCCATTCTTCCATCCATCCATCCTTCCATCCTTCCATCCACTAATTCATCCATCCTTCCATTCATCCATCCATCCTTCCATCCACCCACTAATTCATCCATCTAATGGTTCATGTAACAAATCTATAATGCTACCTCTGTACCCAACCCCCTCAGGGCATTCAGCCTTCTGTCCAGACAGGAGAAGCCTAGGAGAGGAAACAAACAGACAGAAAACCCAACATGCCAGTTTCACTTCTAAAGTGTTAAGACCCAGAGGTGGGGCCATGAAGCAGACATGTGCTGGAAATTATGGGATGGGATGAGTATGCAATTCTACATAGCACCTGACTGCTTAGAAGACTGGGAGAAAGCTATTGGAGCCTGGGTAGGAGAAGAACACTGGTAACTGGAGGGAACTACCAGGGGCTAGAGGAGACAGCATAGGAGAAAAGGGGACATTACAGGAAGGGGTGTGGCAGGGATAGGGTCCCCCAAAAAGTGCAGAAAGCATGAAGAAAGCAGAGTCGAGTTTGGTGGTTCACACCTATCATCCTAGCACTCAGAAGGCAGAGGCCGGTAGATTGCCTCAAGTTTGAGGTCACCCTGAGTCACACAGTGAGTTCCAGGCTGCTCAGGCTACACTGTGAGCTCTTGTCTCCTATTTTTCAAAAAGTGCTGAGTGACTATCTAGAGCAGAGAGGATAGTTGTCAATGGGGCATCTTAAGATGCTGAAAAGTAAGACTTCCTCATGTTTCTTTGCCCAGAACTTCCACTTCAGTGGAGATTTTTTTTTTTTTGTGCAAAGTCACACTTGTCCTCCCTGCCAGTTCTGAGCTCTCTTGTCTGAGCCTCTGCGTTTGCAAGATCAGCTCAAAGGTTGCCATGACTCTAAGCTCCAAACCCTCTCCCTGCTCTGACATGCACAGCTCTTTGCTCAGTTTATCCTCTCTGCAGTAACCATGCAGCTGTGGGATAAGCCAGGCCGTCTGCAAGACCTTCAAGACCCGGGGGGGGGTGCAAAAGGCAAATGTGACCTCTAGGTTGACTACTGCATGTAATGTCCACTGGTAATTAGACAGCAGCACCATTCACCACTCCATCAAAGCCCCCATGGGACAGAGGTTACCATGATTGCCCTGAGGTCAAAGAGGGAGGTACAAGCCCAGGCCCATGGCTAGAACCATCCAAAGCTAGAACCCTAGATACCATCCAAAACTATTCTGTTTTTAAACTTCTAATGTCTAGAGAACATCACCCAGACTTGAGATGTGAGGACCAGAGAGTCAAGGGTCACACAGTGGGACAGTCACGAATGGCTATGGAATAGCCACTGGTTGTGGCCACCAGTCCAAGTCCACTAGCCCACAAGTTCACTGGCAGAACAAGATGCCACTACAACTGATGGCTTTGGTTGCATGGTTTTTCCCAGTACCGGGTGTGGCTCTCCAGGTTAACCTGACACCCTTGTCCCTTCTGTCACAAATGGAAGGCTACACTGAGAAGGCCACTTCAGTGCATTGAGGATAATAATAAAATGAGGGTCTCCTCAAGTTTGCTCACCAAATATTGGTCAAAGAATAAATGTCTGGTACTAAATTAAGAAAAAATGTCCTTTTCTGTACTCTGTTTCCATGTCCTGACCTGACACAGCTCCCTCCCCAAAATAAGTGCCAAGCACATCAGAGCCCTCCATGGTCTGGTAGCTTCCTGCTCTTGCCCAGCCCTGCCTGTAGCCCTGGCCTGACCCTTACTCTGCGACTTGCCGTTCAGAACATCTCATTCCAACACTCTGCCCTGCCCTTCTAAGGCCCTGGGTTTGCTCTACTATGAACTCTCACAGGAATGTTCCTCCCTCCACCCCTTTCTGGAAAACTCCTGTTTGTCATTCACTCAGTTCAAACTCTACTTCTTTTTGGTCACCCCTGTCCCTCCACCCAAGAGCCACCACTTTCATGACCCTTCTGAATGTCCCTGCTCAGAAAGGTGACCTGTAGCAAGTTCAGAATAGTAACTGTGAATCCAAACTGAGGGGCCCAGCTGGTTGGCATGTCTTTGGTCTGTGAACACTAGGTTTTGGGGGGGATCAAGTCACTTACACCCAAGCACTGAAGACAGTCCCTTACATTTGGTGAGTGGTATTCACCTTATAGTCATATTCTTATTGGCTTCTCTCAAAAGATAGGTCACAGAACTTGGATGCTTCCTTATGCCTGCCCACAACTGTCGCTCCAGCCTCTGCCCTCTCCAATAACAGCTGTTCCAGACGCACAGAAGCCAAGCATCTAACTATGGTGGGGATCATGTTCATAGCACAGACCCTGCTCGGCATCGGTGGTGTGCCCATTCAACCCTTTGGGATCTCCTACATTGACGACTTTGCCCACCATAGCAACTCACCCCTCTACCTTGGTAAGGGTGGTCTCTTCTCATAAGCTCTGAGAATGGGGCTAGGCCCAGGCAGGAGGAGGAGAGGTCAAGCATAAGGAGGGACCAAGAAAATTCTAGAGACGCCCAAGAGCCACTGGTCCTAACCAGGAGACAGGACTGCTGTTGGAAGGTTGGGTAGGCAGAGACCCACTCAGGGAAGGCAGAGATACCAACTGAGGGTAGTTAGAGACCCTCTGAGAGTAGGTAGGGACCCACTAAGGACAGGCAGGGACCCAATGAGGTATGAGGGGACCTACTGATGATAGAGAGATGTTGATGGCAAGTGGTACCACAGTATCCTCACCAAGGCTTTGTATTTGCAGGGATCCTGTTTGCAGTAACCACAATGGGGCCTGGCATGGCCTATGGGCTGGGCAGCCTCATGCTACGCCTTTATGTGGACATTGACCGGATGCCAGAAGGTGAGCCTGTGGAGTGTTCATTCATCCTGAAGGGCACACACACGCTCTGTAACTGACCACTGGTCTTACAAGAGTCACAAAACCAGGAGCCCATTGGGAGCCCAGCAGCAACACTGACCATGGACAAGCCTTTTCTTTCCACTCTTTGGGCCTCAGTTTCCTCATTCTTGAGATAATCTCTATCCTCCTGTCTCCCAAGACTGCCACCAGAATCTCATGTAGTGTTAGAGGTAAACTGTGAAGAGCCATCTTCTGAGGAGCTGTGCCTCTGTCACCACCCTACTTTGTTGCATACCTTCCCTCCCTCAGGCACAGGCATACTGTTGGCAGATAATAAAATATACCCACTTAGCTTCAGAGGGAAAAGCTTCCAAAGACCAGGGCCATGGCATGCTGAGAACTGAGAGCAGAACTCAGTGACCAGTGTGTTCCCTTGCCCCCCCCCCAGTTGAGACACAGCCTGGAGCACTTCAAAGACCCCTTTAGCCAAGGTACTGCTTCAGAGTATGAGAAACTTCTAGAGGCATCATTTGGAAAACTGTAATCTCAGAATCATCTAGAAGTCATAATGGGCCTAGGAGTCCAGCTAAAGTTTGTTCTGAAGGTGGCCAGGAAGAGGTGTGTAGGGGCCCCAGAGCCCTGGATCCCTTCTTGTGTGAGGGGATGGGGATGGGGATGGGTAGGATGGGGGAGTTCTATTAGAGCAGGTCACTGTGAATTCCTAGCTGCCTGCTTGTCACACTAGCATGCGAGTGCCAGGTGTGCCTTCTGCTTCCTACTGCTCAGAAGCTCTCTCTCACTTGGGGAGCCACCAGCAACACATATGAGACTGGGAGGTCATTCTGCAACTTGTTCCCATGGGTTCCCCCAGTCAGGACAGGTCTGAGCAGCTCTACATAACCAGCATGAGTGACAATTCTGCCCATATCTTTCCCTTGTAGAATGCTGGACCCCAACACCAGACCTGAGCTCTGTTACTAGCCCCTGGGAGTTGGGTGACCTAGGTTTCCCAGCCACCTCCACTTGGGAGAAAGTGTGTATTTCCTATTACTGTTGATACTGTCTTGACACTGGTGAATGTTGATTTCGAGCCACCTCCCAGGTCCTTTCTTCGTGGGGGATTGGAAGGGTGAGTGGTTTCTGCTTGCTGCAGGTACAGACTAGCATGTGCATGAAGAGGAGGTGGCTCTCTCTAGTCTGGCATGGGGCCAGGCAAGAAACAAGGAAGGCAATGAGTACTACTGTGGAGAAGGCACACCCATCCCTGCTCTGGAGATCTGTTTGTTAATTGCTGGCTATGCTCCCTAACCCCTGCCCGGAGATGCCAGGATCCAGCACCTGGAGAACAGGCTGTGTGAGCTGCTGGTTGGTGCTACCAGGGACTTGTATTTTTATAAAGTACCTGTGATGCTGGGGTGTTGTGTGACTTTTCCTGGAGAGAAATGAGCAAAAGTTTTTTTCGCCCCAGATAGGGTGACGATGACAGCCCAAAGTAACAACTGCCTCTGAGGTGAGCTTGGTAAGACAGTGAGTTTATTGGTGTTACTTATAGGAGCATGGAGGACTCCAGGGTGTCACTGGGAGGCCCACCACAGCTTAGGTGACAACACGCAGAGTCTGTATCCCTGAAGCTCCCTGCACAACTTGCAGATGGTCCCACCCAAGAGGCTCCTCCTGCCTAGAAATTGCCTACTGCTTTTATGACTTTAGAGAGGGGCTCTGTGGATCTTGTAGCTTTCTCTGCCTCCTGAGTCTTATGATCCTCACCTCGGAGAAAATAACTACACAACAAAGGGAGACTATAGGAAGATGCTTCAACCCTTTGCTTTAGAAGTTATACAGGCAGGTATGCATCATGTTCTAATTAAAACAGGTAAGGGACCAAAACCATGGGGACAAGCCACCTTCCCCCAAAACCCTGTGGTCATTTGAAGGAAGTCTTCAATAATGCCAAATACTTCTGTTAAACAGTCCCAGTTCTTTTAAACGTGCCAGTCAGAAAACAATAGCAATCCCACCCTCACTTGACTCAGCAATAATACTTCGTCGAATAGTGGAAATTGAAATAGGAATAGAAGCAGGAGAGGAAGGACATGCGCCTATAAAATACACACCCCTCCAAGTGCTCTTCCTTCTACCTTTCATGGGTTTTGTTTGTTTTTTGAGACAGGCTCTCATATAGACCAGACTGGCTTCAAATTCAAGGTTTAGTCAGGGGTGACCTTGAAATTTTTGATCCTACCGCTTCTACTTCCCAAGTGGCCAGCTTAGATTTTAAATTTTTAATTAAATTCTCTCTTCTCTCTCTCTCTCATTCTGTGTGTGTGTGTGTGTGTGTGTGTGTGTGTGTGTGTGTGTGTGTAATTCTCCCAACAACCCTGTGATGTACGAAATCCCATCTCCTGATGTTATTGATACCTGTATATCACAGTGGAAGAAGCTGAGGCATAGAGATGTAAGTTATCACTAGATTCTGAGGCTTCCCCCAGTTCTCCACCAGCTTAGTGATTGAAGGTCCTCAGAGGTAGAAATGACAGCCAGCCGTGACACTAACACCAGCATGGTTTTCTCTTTCAGGAGGTATCATCTTGACCCCAAAAGACCCCCGATGGGTGGGCGCCTGGTGGCTGGGCTTCCTCATCTCTGCTGGACTGGTGGTGCTGGCTGCCAGCCCCTACTTCTTCTTCCCCAGGGAGATGCCCAAGGAGAAACATGAACTGCGCTTCAGGCGGAAAGCCTTGGCTGGTACAGCCTCCACTGTCAGCAAGGTAAGTGTCCTCCGTGTACCCACCATAACGCTTCCTAACAGAGGCTTCACGCTTGCTGAGCAAGCTCCACTGTGTCCTCCTAGCAGGCCTGCACAGTGACCATCATGGGCCCCTTCCATGATCCAGGAGATGTCGGGCCAGAAGTGAGCAAGTTCAGTGAGCAAGCCAGGGAGGCCTCTAGCGAGAGCACAGGCTTACTAGGGCTCACATCCTGCAGTGTTGGTCACTTAGAAATTCTGGTAATTCTGACCATGCCAGAAGATGCTAAGAAGTGGAGGTTGTCGAGCTTGGATTTAGGAAGAGATCCTGAAAAAGGAGGGGTTTGGCCTGGACATAGGAGGACACAGGCAAGAACAGACAGGAGAGCCAAGGGATGCTGGGTGCAAACAGCCTCAGCTAGGGTTCCACAGCAGACATGAACCTGGCCATTTCTGGCACAGTGATAGGACTAAGAACACACTGAGTACTCTGGGCCAGGCTGGTGGAAGGTCTTGTCCAAGGTTACACACTGACAGAGAGGCCAAGAGCTGTGAGCCACAGGACAGCATAGATGGTTCTAAGCCAAGAACTCCTAATTTTCCAGGAATTCACAAAAATATGCCAAAAATACAATAAGATGATTCCAAATGAAAAAAATTACAAAGAAACCTTCCCCCCAATACTGAGGTCTGACCCTCTCAAGCCTTACACATGCAGGGTGGAGACTACCACTAAGCTATATCTGTCTGGTCCTGGAAACAAGTTTTAAAAGTTTATTTTAACAACATAATTTCAATTTCATTAATATTTTCAATACATACAAAATTGACTATATTCAGAAGCTTTGTGCATTGTGCTTTCTTTTTCCCCAAGTATGTAAGGTGCTTGTGCAAATCTCAAGTGTGTAAATGAAGTATGATGCTTGCTACCAAGTCATTCTAATTGCAAAAGAACAATTCATCCAAATCTTGCTAAATATTCTGCAACAAAAGGATTCTACTTCCTGTGGCAGTCTGGGGCTTTGCTTCTGGGAGTGTTTACTGCTGTGTGGGGGAGGGCCTCCTCAGAACAAGAAAGTTCAACCTAAGAAGCAGACCTGAAAAGGCCACTTATTTTTCATCATTTTTTAAATTGAGGGTCAATTTATAGAATTGGGAGTTCAAGTCTATCTAAGTAAGCACAGGTCCATCTGCCCTGCTGAGTCAACCACCTCACGCCAGGGCTAAGACAGCTCTGGTTAGGACGGCCCGCAGGGGCCAGAATCATACAGCCTTGGCTGCCTTCAAGACCTCTATGTGTCCCTGGAGAGACAGGAAGCAAGGACTCTCCAGCTGCTTTATTAGGTGCTATGTGTGTGTGTAAGGACTGAAGGCCAGAAAGAGCATGTATAATGAGAGGCCACTGACACCATGATAGCCATGATGGGAGCCTGCGCAGAGCACCTAGGGGCAGGGAAGAGGACGACATAGGCTCTGCTGCTCTGGGACAGGGCTTGCCCAGAAGTGATGCTGTTCCGCACTGCTGATTCTCAGACATAATAAATGTCTGGGCTGATGGTTTCTGTGCTGGCTCAGAGGCAGGGGAAGGAATTTCAGCAGAAAAAGAGAACTTGGAATTCTAGCTAGCCTGGCCTAGCTCAGGCCAAGGATTCAAATTCCCAGAATCTGGAGAGTCCTTGGAACAAGGAGTGTCACTTAGGAGAACAAAAGGCTGTGTGGCTGATGACAGATACTCTCAGTTGGGCCCCATATTTGACCATAGAACAATTGGAGCGGGTGGCTGTCTGCTGGACTTGGTCACAAGTCAGCCATGTGCTTTTGCAAGTCACTTCTCTATGCTTGCTGTGGTGTGTGGTGTGTCTAAGGTACAGAGGCCAGATTGCTAGAGCACTACCCAGTTTCCTTGGGTTCTCAGAATGTGCAGTTCCAGCAGCTGAGGTCCCTAGAGTAGGCTTAGAGAGCTCTGTGCCATGAAGCCTGTGACGCTGGTCCTGATTGTGTGCCTGGCTGGCTGGCTGCATCTACCCTGTCAGCTCGTGGGGTTCTGGGAGGCGAGGAGCTGAGAGGTCTTAAGAAAAGGTTGAAGGCTGAGAACATGGTGATCTGTTTCCAGCAGCTCTTGTGCAATAAATATTGATGCAGGAGGAATCGATCCTCTGCCTCCACCTCCTTGAGGCTGCCAGGGCTGGCCAGGCTGCTTGCAGTAAGAGTGGCTGACCTGGCTCTTTAGGGTCACTAGTGAATAACCTGGAGGAGGAGAAGGGGTCCCACTGGGTGAGAGTGGCCCATAGTTCCTGCTTGTGTCTGTGTGTCTCTCCTGCAGGGAGGGGGATGGGTAAGAAGGAAACAGTCAAAGCTAGTGTTTGGGAAAGCTTTGCAAGCTTCTTCTCCTAGACTTAGGGTTCAGAAGCTCCCTTGTAAATGCAAACATTAAAGGTAACCAAGAGATTGTGGTATGTAAGCCAAAGCTTGTCTGATCATGAGAGGATCTAGCCTATGTCTAATAGGTGGGCAGCAGATTTGACAATAATTGTCAGATCTACAGACTGAGGCTATGTCCTCTAACTGGCTCCGTGTCACTGGGTTGTGACACCCATACAACTGCACTGAGAAGTAGAGGAAGACCAGGTGCAGGGAGATGGGTGCCCGTATGACAGCTCAGGGATGAGGGCTCGGCAGGGTCTTTTGGAACAAAAATGCCTCGTAAGGGCTCTCTGACAGATTTCTGGATGCATTTCCCCTTGGGTAGTAGTGTCTGTATTCACAGCACTCTCCAGTGTTCATAGATCCCTCAGAGAACCTGTGTTTGGGGCTGAGCCGGGAACTGGGAAGGGGCCTGGCCACCTGCTTCCTTTCCTGGCAGGCCTCTTGCCTCTTACATCAAGGACCCTGGCCATGCCCAGACTCTAAGTGCCATTGAGTGCCAAGGCCTTCTATTGGGTAATATTCCCAAGACATTTGTGTGTTATTCCTACAAAAATTCTGAGTTTAGAATCCTACAGCTATAGTCTTAGTGCTCTGGGTTTTGTGTTTGTTGTTGACTGGTTGGGGTCTTATTTTTTAGACACTTGGACCTCAATCTGGCTAACCTACAACTTCCTGTGTAGCCTGGGTTGATCTCAAACTCATGGTGACCCTTCTGCCTCACCTTCCCAAGTGCTGAACTGAGAAGTGTGAGCTACCACAACCAGATAAAGTTCTAATTTCTAATAGCTGGGGATTTTCAAGCACTTGTCTTCTAAAACAAAATAACTGTGTGTGTGTGTGTGTGTGTTATGTGCATCTGTGTGTACCCGTGCAAGCATGTGTGTGCACTAGTGCATACTTGTGTTACACATACGTGTGTGTGTGTGTTTATGTGCAAATGTAGGTACATATGTATGTGCATGCCTGTATAGACCTGAGGATAGCCTTCTAGGGTGTCTTCCCCTAGTGTTTGAGTTTGAGACAGGACCTCCGTGGGTAGGGGACCAGCCCAGAGAGCCCTAGGTAGCTACCTATCTCCACCTCCTCTGTGCCAGGGCTACAAGTGTGTGCCACTGCATCCAACATTTTTACATGAATCCTGAGCATCAAACCAAGGTTCTCACATTTGCATAGCAAACACTCACTCCACTAAGCTAACTCCCCAGACCCTATATTCTGAGAATAGATGTCTGACAGTCTTTGAGTCCCAAAATCCACTTCTCTGTCTCCACTTCTCTATCTTTGTCCCGTTCTTCCTCTGTCCTTCTCCCTGTCTCTTTCTGAGATAGGGTCTCACAGTGTAGTGCTGGTTAGCCTAGAGCTTACCACATAGACCAGGCTGACCTAAAAATCATAGAGAGTGGTGTACATCTTTAATCCCAATGAATGCTGGTATTAGATATGCACCACTACCCCTGGCCAAAATCCACATGTTTAAGTGGCTAAGAGGCAATGAGTCCATGACACTGGTTGTCTGTCTCAGTCATTAACCTCAATGTACTTCTATGGGATGATAGCCAAGGATAAGGGCAGAAACATGAAGTAGGAATTTCTCAAAAACCAAAACTTAGGGCTAGCCTACTAGGATCACTCATATTCCTCCTGGGACTTTTGGGTTCCTGCTGTAGCCTCTTAGAGTACAAGGTGACACTGGCCTTCCTTGCCACCTGTGCCTCCCCCTTGTAGGTCCTGTTCTAGATTCCTCTCTACAAGCCTTGAAGTCCTTTGTGTCTCCCTTCCATCCTGGCAATGAAGGGCTGAGACTCCATCCTTAGGGTCCCTTTGAGCCCCAAGGCCCGAGTGATCATGTAACCCCTACTCTGTGTCATAAGAGGAGGGACCCTGGGGGATCCAGCATGTGGTAGCCCTGTGTCTGTCTATATGAGGCCAGTTTCTGGCCCAAATGGTCAAAGGGGAGTCTCCCTTTCCTCATATCAGAGCTAGAGTTCCTTTCGGGTGTACTTGAATGAACTTCAAACTGTATCCCTTACAACACCAAGGATGACACCATAGAGAGAATGAAGAAAGATGACCTCTCCCGATCTCTTTCTCTCTGTCTCTCTCTCTCTCTCCATCTCTCCCTCTCTGTCCCACACACAATCTCACTTTAGTGCTTTATAGCAGTGTATTTGTTTCTGTTTGCCCAATGCTGGCGTCTGGTCTCAGGCACGCTAAGCAAGTGTTAAGCCACTGAGGTGTTACAGCCTTTATCAGACATCACGATGGGATTTCAAATTGGATAAAGGTTTGTGTTGCTAAGAAACAGCTGAAAGAGAAGAAGACTGAGGCTAAAGAAGAGGTGGAACCAGTTGTAGCATCTCATGATTGTAATCCAAGCATTTTGGAGGCTGAGACAGGAAAATGGCCATAAATTTAAGGCCACCTGGGCAACATAGTGAGGTCCAATCTTTACTGGGCTACACAGTGAGACTCTGTCTCAAAACAGACAGGCAGGCAGACAGACAGACAGACAGCCACACACACACACACACATAACAGCAACAACAACAACAACAGTGCCCTCTGCAGCCACTCCTCCCTAGTCCTTGGCAGTCC